TCTTTACTTGTATTCTAACTACTAATTGGGTGCAAATATGAAGTAAAGTTTCAAGAAAATTAAAGAAACACTCCATGATGTCATTTCATTTGAGTGTATGTCTGGCTATTACTCTTCGCTTCCTCTTACATATACATGACTTTGTTAATACTTTGAATTTGCTGAAATAACATTGCTATTAATTAACATATTGTATGCATACTTTGACATTATATGTTTGAAAATAATTTATGTAGGTTATACTAAAAATGACCTTATCTTTAATATCGAGGGGTGAAAGCGAAAAGGTTCTAACTCACTTTTTTTTTACAAAATTCACTTTTTTATATATTTGTAACATTAACACTCAGATACATCTTATGTCAAAATATATTAGACCTAGTTTACTTATAACAGGGTGAAATGAAAAATTGTCCAAAGGTTCTAAGTGAAATTCACTTTTTTTTAAAAAAAGCGAAAAGGTTCTAACTGCCAATTGCAGTTAGAACCTTTTCGCTTTCATTGAGTATAAAATGTACAAGATTAAATAAAAACAACTCAAACTGCATTAAAATAAATGATATCAAAATAATTTTGGAAGCTTAACCTTTTATTGTATATCATTGAATAATATCACATAAGAAATTCATTAGTTTCAGAGTAGATGCTTTGATTTTGGAAGAAAACTTAATTACTTAGAACTGTTTCGCAGTTAACTCCACTCATGAAATTATCAAATTTTTAAAAGGGAAACAGTTCTAAGTGTACAAGGCCAGTAATGATCACACACTTTCTTAAATGGTTTTAAGTGCCTGTGAGAAATTGTATGGTGATATTGAAGCTAGGGCTATAGATGACGGTAAGAAATCTGATAATGTTACTGAAAGTGATGCTTTAGCTGGTTGTAATAAATCAAGGCACGAAGAATCTTAAAGATATGGTCTCAAAACCCGGCAGAGCCCTGGTTGACGTCCAGGGATGATTTGGGAACAACCAGGGTACATCCGTTACTCTGCCTGCAACGTCCGGGATGATCCCGGAACATCAGGCATTCGACCCCGGATGGAATAAAATAATTAATTATAATATCACCGGGCTGATCCGGGAAGGTGTAACTTTGCCGGCTTCATCCTTAGCCCTTCCGGGAACGACCGGTTACACAAGGGAAGCACTGTAGCTCTGTTGACTCAAACTGGGGATGATCCGGAGTATTATATAGCCAGTAGAGCTATGGTAGAGCCCCGGTGAATGCCAGCAGAGCCCTGGTGAATGCCGGCAGAGCCCCTGTGAAAGCCAGCAGAGCCCTGGAGGATGACGAGTGAGCTACAGTTGATCCCTGTAGTGTCCCGGCAAAGCCAGGTTCATTTCAAAAGAACTACGGCAATTTGCAATGATTTGTTATAAAACCCTACCCATTTCCCTTCCGTCCAGTCTTGCATATAAAGGATTATTCAGAAAATTATCATGAATTACTTATTAAATAGGAGAAAATATCATTTAGAACTATATTATTGAAATATTTGTATCAACGTCATCATTTTTGAAATTTTCAATCCATTGGGATTCTACCGGCGCTCTGCCGAAATCGTCTGGGGCTCTGCCTTGGTCAACCGGGGCTCTGCCTCCGTCATCCAGGAATGACCGGGTAAGCACAGACATGAATCATAGCTTCACCTGGGCTCTGCCTGGATGGTCCGGGCGAATCCTGGGTGTTAGTTGGGAATTACCATAGTGCTGCCGGGGTAAGTGTGACAGCAACAATAATTTCACCATGTATCATCCCAGTAACTTACTGAGGTTGTCCTGGGCTCTGCCAGGAGTTGGTGAGACTGCAACTTGAGATGACAATACTATAAGTGATGTTCTTGAAAGTTAGTCTTCAGGTGATAGTGATATATTTAGAATTGTTAAAAAGGATTTTTGATGATTATAAGAAAACTGGGTATGATAAGGTAGGAAAATTATACACAAAATTACAAGATATTATGACTTTGATATATTGGGCATTGCAAATGAACTTGGAGCTATGTGTTAGTCCAAGAAACTGAGTTGTGTAAATATAGCTAGTGCTATGTGTGATACTGAAATATTAAGTAACGTGAATGAAAGTGGAGCTATGTGTGCCTCTGAGATATTGAAAAAATGTAAATGTAGGTGGAGCTATGGGTGACTTTGATGTATAAACAATGTAAATAAAAGTATACTAGGTATGGGTGACACTTAAGCTAATGAAGGTGGCCTTTGGGACTTGGACTTGAGACATATCATCTCTTTTATGTATTGTTGCTACGTGAGGGTGTCTCGTGTGTTATGCACATAATTAAAACAATTGTGAAAGTCATATGTAATGCACAATTTTTTAAATATATTTTCAGTTCAAAAATATTCTGGGACTGTTTGTGAAACTGTTTATAAAGATATTCTTGGCCTTTGAATGAAGTTTCTGACAAGTTCAAAAAGTTTTTCAGAGAATATTGTTCACTATTATTTGATCTAGAAATAGCTGTTAATGTTATCTCATTGGTTCAAACAGTGATAATCAGAACAAATTATAAAATCAAATTCACTGGCTGAATTGGATTTAACCTATCTAAATTAGACTCATATTCTAAATAACCGTACAGCATGGGACTCATATTCTAAATAACCTTACAGCATGGGGAATGCAAGATGAGTTGCGTCATTTGAGCGCATTTTATTAATGAACAGCGTTAAAATGTCATTTTGGCGCATTTATTAAAATGGAACTATGTGCTAAGAATGACGTCATTTAGCCGTTCTTATTAAATAGAGTGAAATTAGAATCCCTAAAGAAAGCCCAACACAGCAAATTTGAAAATGTTGCTGGCTCGGTTTGATTGATTCTGTTCATGGACAGTACTGTCAAGTGCAAACTACCGTCCACGCCCCCTAGCACCGGCTTAAGCAGTTTAAGTTTAAGTTGTTTAAAAATAATGCATACACTATTGTAAGAAAATAGTTGTGGATGAAATGATATGAATTCCCATGAATAAATATCTTATTGAAGGTAAACATTATAAATATGAAAGAATATGAATGTTACTGTTTTATTATGAATATTAAAGAATATGACAGAAAATGAAAGAAACCAAGAGCTGTCACAGGAGACAGCGAAGCTCGACTAATCAAATACTGGACACAGTAAGGAAGACGAAAATATGAAAGAAAAATCAATTATGCTATAAATATATTTCTTTTTATCAGTATCAAGAAAGCAGTCAAATGTTCTATACTTTTGCACAACATAATAATCTTGCCAATAAATGTTACTTTTATGGAAAGATCTGAAGTCAATCCCTCCAAAAACAAAAATGATAAGAGCAAAAAGAATTTAAAGTTTATACAGAAAAATTATACGTTCAAAGTGGAAATAACTCTTGAAAAAAGAAGCTAGAGTTATGAACCTTGTCATGCATATGATGTAAGTAATGAGAAAGAACAATTATTTATCTTAAGTCTAGAGTAGATACCATTTATAACAACAAAGATGATACTAAAAAAATTCAATTTACAAGTAAACTTCAAAAATTGAATGGGGATAACTCTGGGAATACAGGAGCTGTGTTTTATAAGTCTTATCCATATGACAAGAAGTTATAGTAAAAAGAAAATAACATTCATTAACATAAATTCAAATTATAAGGGGGGATAATTCTGGAAGTAGTAATGCTTGAGTTATGTACCATGTAACACGACGTGTGTAATGATTAAGAAATAATTTCGGCCTTAGCGGTGTTTATTGGCTATTTAACACCGGTTTGGAGTTTTGATGCATAAGAATTGACCACGAAGGCCGTAGGAACATATATTTAAAGTTTGAAGTTGATACATTTGTTGTACCTTAAGTATTTTACTGCTTGAAGTTTGAAGTTGATACATTTTTTGTACCTTAAGTATTTTACTGCATGAAATCTGGATGCGGATGCCGGGGCGAGTAGGACAGCTCTCAATATACTTGGTAAAGTTCAGCTAAAAATGATTATCAAATTAATTGGTGTTTGTTTTTGTTTTTTTGTTTTTTTAAACAGGGGTAGATTTGTACACTACCAATTAAGACCTTTATTATAAATTTCTAATTTAAACACAGTCAAACTTAAAATTTCATGATCTTGAAAATGGAGTAAGAAAATGTCTCACACCTAAAATATGAAATCAAAATTATCTTGCAATTTATACTCCATCTCTTACTGAATAATTAGAAATGACAAAATGTTGCTCAATCCGAAATTAAATAAGAAAAAAAACATGCTTTTGTTCTAGCAAAATGTCACTTGGAACCTTTTCGCTTTGAACAAAAAAATCAAAATATAAGAAATTTTAAGTGCGAAACAGTTCTAAGTTACATTTGATTGAATATCTTGTTTGTGAAGGCTTTCCAAGAATTTTTATTATCATTGACAGACAGGTTTCTTAAACATTTTTATGTGTAAAATCAAAGTGTTGTGGACTTTTGCTATTTAACAAACATAGACAGTTTTTTGCTTCTCTTGTAAAATTTTGGAAAATTCACTTAGAACCTTTTCGCTTTCACCCCTCGATATGGTCTTGACCCTTCAGGTGAAATGAGATAAACAAGATTTATGACAAAACAGCCGTGTTTAATAATTTAAAATATGATAATGACTTTAAAATTATTTTGGTCGTCAAGTGCAAGTCGTTGAATTAAACTTAAACGTCCATAAGTTTAATGGTGTCTGCTAGGGAGAACTACCAAGTTGAACAATTTCAGCAGGCCTTGACTTTTAAATCAATTATTTCAAGAACAATGAGGAGTATTTATCACCATATAGATATAGTGTTTCGTTTTTTTTTTGTTTTTTTTTTTTAAGAAACAGCTTTACAGATGAACTGAAAATCGATCGATTTTGCAGATTTTTTTTCTACCTTTACAGTGAGATACCGGTTTAATGCAGTTTTAATTCATTTTTCTTTTGCTACAAAACATAAAGTAGTATTGAAAATATTGCAAATTATTTTTTATGCCGTTTTTCTTTAGGTTTCATTTCATAGAATGGCTATGTCAAGTAGTTTAAACGAATGTGGAAGTGACGAAGTTAGGGGTAATGATAATGATGATGATACAGACAAATGCTTTCATTGTGTTGCCGATGGAGAACCCAGACCGGCATTGTACTTCTGTTTTAATTGTGGCGTCTATGGTAGATACATGTGTGGCACTTGCTTCAAGCTTCATTACCGGTTTGTGAAGAACCATGAGATAGTAGGAATTGGCAATAAATCAGCTTCTAATAGGTTTTTATTTACCATTTTAATGATCCTATAAAATATTGATGCAATTAACGTAAGGGGTTATATTTTTCATTGTAAGAATTGAAGGTTTATGCGGTTTTTCTTTTTACAAATAAGTAAGATTTAGCTAGAATGACCAGAAAAATATACACTTTTTTTAAGTACGGATCTTGTTTTATAGCTGCCATCATAAGCGTCATATTAATCAGAAACCTGTAACGCACCGATTACGTTATGTACAAATGCCCCCACCGAGGCAAAGTGTTTTTCACCGACCAGTTGCAATTCCTCCTTTTTCGTCCGGACTGTCGACTTCCACGTTAAAAACCTATTCTTGATTTTTTGTTTGTTTTTAATGTTCTTGTTACCTATTTTTTACAAAATTCCATTTTATTTGTTTTTCCCAATACTTTCTTATAAGGCTTTCTTATCATGGAACCTTCAATGTGACACGTTAGTGCAATTCCATGAAAAGCAGCATAAGGTCCCCAAGTAAAAAGTGCGTGTGCGCTAAACGAGAAAACAATGGGCGGAACTAAATAAAATGGAATTTTGAAAGGGGATCAGAGGTTATGAAACTTTATTCTTTTTTTATGTCAGGCAGTTAACGTTCTCGCTTACGAAATATCGGTGGTTCCACTGAGGCGCCTAATGAGATATTTCTTTGCCATTAACAATGAAAAATGACATATGGCATTAACAGTGTCGCTGTTCTGTCAATAATGTTAGAAAAAATCGAACGAAATTGGTTAAAGTTGAAATTTTGAAAAAAATATTTTGAAATTCAGAACAAATCTCTCTGCTTTTCTATTTCTTCCCAGCTTATTTATTCCAGCGGTCATATTTACTTTAGAAGGGGAAAGTAATGTATGCTATCAGACGTTCCAAGCGCAATAGTATTATTTTTCCGTATGAATCATTAAAAAGGGAAATTACTGTAAAAATACAGACTTTCAATGCATTTTATACAGACTGGATAATATGCATATATAATGTAGTTAGTGCGTATACATGAAAAAAAAAACCTCAACGCTTTATAAAGGCATTTTCATCTAGACCTTATCATTATATAGAAAATTATTTTTAGTATTACATCATTATGGATAATACAAAATAATATTCAGATATTAATTAATATAAATTTTATGAAAACAAAACCCCTAAACCTAAACACTGCGCATGCTTGTTCTACAAGGTGCAATAGATGTAGGTCTTTATATTTTAAGTAACTGATGTTTTAGATTACTACTTTAATAGTGATTCTGTTAAAGCAACTGTTAGATAGAATATTTATTTGCACACGTTTTTATTAGAGCTACCCTGGCAAAACAAAACGGAGTTAGTAAAATTGGTTATTTCAGGTGAAAATGGATTCAAAGAATTTTATCATAAATTGCATGCTGTGCTTAACTTTAATCTTATATTTGATATTCTTAGTTGCATACAAGGGTTCTTTGAAATGATTTATATCTTACAGTGAATGTTATTTCGATCGCATTTGACAAGACTGTGTATGTGTGAGATAGTGTTGTTGATTTCATTGCTCCCGAAGGTGATACTATTTATCTGTTCAATTTTTTTTATTGAAGAATGTGAACCTGAAGTATGAGGTGGACTATTTTCAGGTTAGATTATGAGAACATGAAAAAAATGAAAGTTGAAAAAGATCTTGTGTCAAAACAGGCAGAAATAATGCAGTTAAAGATCCAAGTCAATCAATATTCAAAAGAAAATCAATGCCACCAAGCAAGAATAAAAGAATTGGAAATTACATGTAAAACTATTGAAAAAGAAAAGATCCAAGGTGAAGAAATGGCGAGAAGAAATTTAGAGCACTTGCAAAACATTCTTAAAGAAGAAAAGGCTGCTGACAAATACAAAACGATCTTAGCAAAAACAGATGCTTTACAGGACAGGTACGATATATTTTAATTCAATTTTTACTTTGAAGCATTGGGTAATTGGTTTTCGTTTTATTGTCTTATTCAATTTTTTTATCATTTATATTAAATAAATGTAATTTAATACAAAGTACTTAACCATACTGTTACCCTAGGTTTTAATTTTCATTATTGTGAAATTGTGACTTTTTGTGTTTCTGTGCATGAAAGTTTTTTAATTTTTATTTTGACTATATGGCCTAGTTTGAAATAAGGGTAATACCTTCCAAATTCAGAGATGTGCAGAATGTGTAATGCGTGTTGAGTATATATGCAAATACTTATAAACGTTCGAATACGATTTTATCAGCATAAGTTTTTTAAAACAAAATAAAATCATTTTGGCAACTAACCTTAGTTACGAAAAACAAGGACATGCTACAAACAATTAAGGTATGCCAAGTAAAATAACAATCCAGGCTTACTGTATTTAGACTGTATCATCCTTCTGGAAGAATTACATATTATATTATAAAGACATTGGATATTCTACTCGTATTTATAAAGCTTTACCATGAAACAAAACAGGAACGAAACATATTGCCAATTTTAATGTCTTAAATGGTAAATTACTAGCATCCACACACAAAAAATGGGTCTTTTCCAGATCTTGTTAAGCACAGGATTTATCAGTTTAACATGAAAAAAGTGCTTATAGCTGTATTTTATAAATATGTACAAAAATGCCGTCGACATTTAAACCAAGCATTCTAAATTTATAAACCTTGGGTCAAATTGGATCTGCCCTTTGGAAACATAGATTTTCTTAACAGGCTAAAGCCTAGGTTTTGACTTCAAACAAGAAGACCTCTTGGAAGCTTCTAAGGCTAGTACCAAGATATTTTGCATGAAACATTTTAGACAACTACAAATATTATTCAAATTATGCCCCTGGGGTCTAAATAAACTCCAATCTGGTGATTTTTTATTCTTTTTCCGAAATGGAGATAGCTAGAGCTTAGTTATATGATATAAAACATTGTCCGATGTTTTGATAAAAATAAGTGTTCCCTTTCACGCACAAGCAATTATGTGTATGATTTACGCATAAATATCAAACTTCACGCACAGAAAATAAGTTCAGAACGTAAAAACACGCATAGAAAAATTGGATGTAAATCATGTAAAATTAATGGCTTATTATATGCATGTACTATATTTAAACATAACGTTCCTTTAAATCAATATGCAGACTATTTCGTAAGAGAATTTTATGTTCAATGTATCTAAACATTTCTTAAGGTCACAATAGTAATGCCTTATAACAGAAAATGAGGAAAAAAAGTGACAAAACTATGCAACCGTTTGTAACAATAAAATACATTATTATAGGAACATTAAGACAAGGGGACTTGACATCGATAAAAAATTCCCTGTAAAATCCAAAAGAAATAATTTGAAACAGAAACTTTATCAATTTAAGTAAGTAAGTTTAAATGTAATATAATTGCTATAATCTTACTGTATTGTTAAGGACTTGAATTGATAAGTGTATTCGAAAATCGATTTATTCTTTGCATTATATTTGGATTTGACTTGACTCTGAATAAGCGATTTCTATTGTTTAAGGACCCAGTTTGACAAACTTAAAGCAGAAAATGAAGAACAGAACAAAGAATTGCAACAGCTGAAATATCAACTTAAAGAAAGAAATGATAAGATGAAACAGCTCGAAAAGTATGGGATACATTAAAATCATGCAAAAAAGTTTCTTTAAAAAAGAACTTGACATAAAAGGCATATTTGAAAATAGTTAATAATATACTATATTTAAGCATAATGTTTGTTTTAATCAATATTCATACTATTTGGGCAGATAATTTTATGTATAATGTATCTAAGCATTTCCTAATGTCACAATAGTAATTCCTTATAATAAAAGAACATTAGAACCGTTTGTAACAATCAAAATACATTATTGCAGGAAAATAAAAACAATCGAATTTGACATGGCTGGAAACTACCCTGCGAGACCCGAAAGAAATCGTTTGAAACTGGAACGTTGTCAACTTAAGTAAGTTTAAATGTAACATAATTAACTATTATCTAACTGTCGTTTTTGAAAGGTGTATTCTAATATCGATATAATTTTTGCGTTATAATTGAATTTGACATGATTCGTAATAAGCTCTTTGTATTGTTTAAGGACCCAGTTTGACAAGCTTAAAGCAGAAACTGAAGAAAAGAACAAAGAATTGCAACAGCTGAAAGATCAACTTCGAAAAGGAAATGATAAGATACAACAGCTCGCAGAGTATGGGTTACATTAAAATCATGCAAACAAGTTTCTTTAAAAAAGAACTTGACATAAAAGGCATATTTGAAAATAGTTAATTATATATATTATTTAAACATAATGTTTGTTTTCAAATCAATATTCATACCATTTTATCAGAGAATTTTATGTTTAATGTATCTAAGCATTGCCGTATCAAACAATCATACATCCAGTCGACCACATCTTTGGTATCTTTATATTCCTTTTATATCATGTAAACAAACTCGGGTATCGACAGCAATGCTTTATTAAATAAAGAAACTTAACTATATGTCAATTGCTTTGTATTTGTTAGGACAAATAACGAACTGGAGGAGGAAGTCAAACAAACACAGGACAGATGCAATAAAACTTTGGAAGGAAGGCAATATTTAAAAAATTATGACATAATTATATTGTTTTTAGCTAATCAAATGTTTGCAAATGGAAAGCTTTGCCTTATATTTCTCTCGGGATAATGATTGTCTTCTACAATATTAATAATATTAACTTTATTAATCCTAGTTGTTTTTGTGCTTGTGTGTGCGTGCGTGCGTGTGTGTGTTTGTGTGTGTGTTTTCTTGATAGGGTGAATCTTGCATGAAGTTGAAATGATTTTATGAATTAGCATGCGTTTCAAGATTCTTCAAATATTCTGCATAATGATATTGTACTGCATGGAAAAACAATTAGTTTTTAACGAAGCATACATTGCTATATAACGATAATTTCAGATTACGTGAAATGACAGGTGTACGACTAACTGATAATAATGCTAACATAGCAGATCTTAGTGACCAGAATAGACCAACCAAACTTGCTGAAAAGTATGCAGACTTATACGATAACCAATGGACGGATGCCTTCGCATACCTACAAACTGTTGATGTCTTTAAAGATGCGGTAGAAAAACGCATCATAGATACATTACTGGCTATTCTTGTTGTATGCTTACACTTTATATATATATAAAAAAAACATAAACAAATATATGATTGTAAAATCTTTTTCTATAATACATGTAAAAGTGTCTGACCTAATAAGTATAATGGAAAAAAGTAATAATTTATACAGATTTCCCCCTTTTTGATTGGATATTGATCGACGAAATTAATTGATATAACCTCGCCAGAAAGGTAATATACACATTAAATATCCTCTTTGGGTACCCAATATATTAAACAAAATGCGCCCGGTGTAAGGATACCCTAAAGAAAATCTTATTTCGACGTTTTCTTCTATATAAGTTTAGTCATGCTTTTTTATTTGAAGTTCTGAAAAAGTATGCCCGTACTTGAAAATGAAAATATTATTATCTATTCATTTACTTGTTACGTCTCCTTTACATACATGACGTTTATAACAATCATTAAAAAATATTTTCATAATCAAAAATCATATTCATTGTCTGTTTGATATACATGATTAAGAATGAAATAAAAAACGAAATTTATCTAAGCATTTTTCATAAAATAAACTAGCATCAGGTGCTTCAAAACTATTATCTTAACTATTTATCTTTATATATATTTTTATGGTTTGGCAAAGGTCATTTACATATTGTTAAACTTAGGAACTTTATAGTATTCTCACTTAAAATCATTATAGTCGTGTACGTCAAATTACAACACGCACTAAATTGACGATGGTATTCTTTATACTAAACCTGATCACACTTTTATAAATTTTTATTTGAACTAGGAAAATGTCTGTTTGTTTCTGTTTTCATCTAGGAAGCATTCACACTATCGACAGAAACTGCCACGAAACAACTAGATACAATTCGTAAAGTACTTGAAGATTTCTACGGGGTAAATCGATTTCTTCCCTCTTTGCAAATACTCCTTCATCACTATATAATTCAGTCAGAATTTACTTTTCTGTATAAAAAATTAAAACGATTTTGTATAGTCATCAATTTAATCAAAAGCATATAAACATGACTTTATTACATAAAAGATGTAAACATAAAATAACATTTCAAAATTTTAAGAGTTATTTTCAGAAAAGTTCGCATAATAGAGAGAAAGTACGAGATCTCATAAAGCAATTAAAAGATCAGAGGAAAAAAGTTCCACAACCAAGCATGGACTTAGAAAAGGTACTTTAAAATAGCATATTGACTTTAGTTTGATAATACTATCTTTAGAATATGTATATTTATGATCGCTTATTGTGTTCTGGTAAGTACTTTTATAACAGTTTATTGTATTTTAACAGGTACTTTCATGATGGTTTATGTCTTTAGGAAAAGTATTTTTATGATAGTATATTTTCTTTAGTAAAGGTACTTTAACGATAGCATTTTGTACGTAGTACAGGCTTTTTATGATAGCTTATTGCGTTTAGTAAAGGTACTTTTATGATAGCCTATTGACTTTAGTACAGGTTCTTTTATGTTAAATTAGGTAAAAGTACTTCAATGATATTTAATTGTCTTCAGTAAAGATTCATTCATGGTTCATTTTATCTTAAGTCGGGTACTTAAATGATGGCATATTGTCTCAATTTCACCAATTCTTCAATTTTTAATTCTGTTTCCTAGTTGTTTTGCGAGAAAATACAAATGTTTTCGACTTCCCCGATGTATTTGAATGAAATAAAGCAATGCAAATTACATATTGGCAAATTTTACAAAATGTTTATCGGACCTTGAAACTTTTTTGTCATATATATGTATATAATTATACAGGAATACAAAGTTACTCTATCAAGAAAGATCAAACACCTTCCATCCTCATTGTTGGAATCCGAAGCATTCAAACCTTTTGTACAGCAATGTCTCGAATTATGCTGGTTGATGGCAATACAAGACCCACCATTATATCTAACGCTTGAAAACTGCAAAACAGACCAAATATTTGATGGAAATACTTTCAAAGAATATATAGAGTCTGGTCCATATGTAGAGTTCGTTGTGTGGCCTGCTGTCTTTTTAGAAAAGGATGGGCCACTTCTTTGCAAAGGTGTTGTGCAATGTAAGAAATATAAATTGTTTCAGTTAAGAAAAAAGGATGGTAGCCAGACAGGTAAGAGGCAAGCAAAATCTATGTACCATAAAGAGACGACATTAACATCTACACTAAGTCTTGACACTTAGAATTGCAATAAATCTTCTTGTCCGACAATTGTCAGTACAGTAGATGATTAATCTGGAAACACAAAGCTACAGAAATAGATAATGCTTTAAGCATAAAATCATTCAGTACAATTGATTTTGTTCTGTTTTATTTGTTGACGTGATTGTTTTTTGGGATACATACAGCACATGTATTATTTTTATTTTACCTTGGATCTTCGTTAATTACATCGTAATGTACAATTGTACAGGATTCGTGGTTGAGAACGGTGATACAAAAATGTTATTTAGATATAAGAAAAAGCACAATCGAGTCAGGCAACGGATCATTATGTATAGTTTAGATGAATATTTAGTTTCAAATACATGTACATGATATATATACTCGTATATTTGAACAATACACATAGTTATGGCTAGTTTAAACGCACCTCAAATAAATTGCGTTCAGTTTGAATTCTAATTAACACAAAACGTATATCAGTCGATTTGAAACGATTTGTTGAATACATTATCTTGGTACAATTATATCCCTCTTATTACTTGCATTGCTAGATATATCGCTTTGTGAAACAAATATATGTTATATTGAATTTTACTTAATGAATATTTGCAATGTCAAGAAAAAAAAATAGATAAACAATAATCATCTGTGTTTATTTAACACATTTCAAATTATGAACTCCAGTATTATTATCGTCAAAGTGGTTTATATTTCATGTTAAGTAAGATTAAATATATTAATAAACAGATGAAGCGTTATGGTTCACTTTGTTTATGAAACATATTTTATGATTTCATTGTTAACATAAATATGATGTCATAGTAACAATGAACGGGATATGTAATATTTAGCTTGCATTTTGGTCTTAATAGTTTAATGTTACAAACTCTAAACTGCCAACAAATATGTATTTTATTTTTCCATGAATGACTTAACCTTTTACCCCATGAGCATATTGCGAAAACTGGCCGTTTTCTTTGAAAAGCCTCCTGTAACAAGTTCAAACTGCCATGAGACTATGAAAAATGCTTCAATACTGATGAAACTTGGCACAAATATTGACTAGACCATAGCCTCTGTAAAAGCGTGCTCAATCGTAAATTTCCTGTTACCATGGCAACGGGGGGACGTCTCAAAATTGCCAAAAATCACCATTTTGCATTGTTTTTTTCCATCAAAACTGATTTCAAAGTGCTGCAACTTCTTAATGAATTGAGATAGAGTAAAATGCTTTTCAGCGTCGGTTACTAATTACCCTATGATCAACCTAATGCCATATTCAGCCTCTCACATGTCCAAAATTTTCTTGGCGATCAGAGGGACTCCGCAAAAGCCGTCCAAACACGCTTATATAAGGGAAAAGGTTAAACATGAGATTACCATATCACTAAACAAGTAAAAATTGAAAAGAAAACCAGACAATTTTTGATACCAGGTATTAAAGACGCCACCCATGTTTGTTTAACAGGACTTTAAATCATCAAAGCCTATAAATCAAAGCAAACAATCATTAAATCATGTGCACATATAATTTTAGCCAGGGTTGCACTCATTGTTTCTTTAGGTATTAAATTCAACAGATACCTTTTACAATGTTACTTTTATTGAAAATAACATTCGTACTTGAAATTTGCAACACACTAAATACCGTATTCTGGTATATATACCGGGTAAGGCGATTGAATGATTAAATGTTAAATCTTGCCTTTTCACATAGGGTTATGGTTGAACTTTAGAAAGTCTAATTCATCTTTTAACACTATTTTTTTTATAATTAATTAAAATGTAAGATTCGGCGAGAATAAAAAAGATATATGTATATTTTGTGATCATGATTTCTGCAAGCGTCTTGAAGTTTTTCTCCAGTCCTGTTTTGAGTTTAATCCATTTTTAAGTATGTTGCCTACATAGTTTTACAATATTGATGCGTACTGTATAAATTTAATGAACCCGGGATTCTGAGCAATGTATAATCTGTAGAACCGAGTTATTTCATTTTGATATAATAATGCTGTACAAATAGAGTTCATAAGGCGATCATTTTGTAAATAAAGTGTACATGTATACATATCTTAAGGGAAAGGAATATTTGACAATACATTAGCCATCATTTTTTTATGAAAAAGTTCTTAAGCTTCATAAACTAGTATGACAGGTGTAGCTTTGAGTACATCATATTGAATGTGAAAATACCATTTCAAACGGTTAACATAAAGACACGTTTCCACGCAGTATTAATGATTTAATTGACAAATCAGATGGCCGGGAGTATATAAAGGTGGGCGATATTCAAATTTAAGAAAAATATTAAAAGGATGAAAATGCATTTATCCCCTTTAAATAAATATGTAAATAGAATTAATTATGTTCTACACAAATGTTTATGGGTTAAAAATATTTAAATGGACACAAATTTATCCCTAAAAGCATAAAAATGTTCTAAAAAGATTATTTGTTGCGTAAAAGAAATAAGTATTATCTAAAAGAATTTTTTACCTGGACAATAAATTGCATTATGGGACATTTTTGAGACTTTTAACAGTAGTTTAGATTAGTTAATTTAAAAGTAGACCCAATATTTCTGCACGAAAACGTTTTTTTTTGCGTTATTATTTATGTGTTCCCATACATTTTGGTTCTTTAAAATATCATTCAACAGTGTCATTCTGTATGGGATCAACCATTTTGTCATTTTGAAATCAATATCCGGCGATCCAGCATTCAAATACACTATGCAGGTCAACATCTGTTGACACATCGGGGGGGGGGGGGGGTATTTGTTCATGTCGATCTTCCCCAAGTCCTGTGGGTGGTACGTGTCACGTGGTTGTAACCGGAGGAGACGACCCTTTGTAGCACTACAACCCTAGCTAGTAAGTCACGACAAGTCAACAAATTATCACTTATACTTTGCTTAAACCAAAACTGCTGTTTCAAGTCTAGAAGATGTACACATATAACTGTACATCAATATTTCAGTTCAATTGTAGCTAACTTTGCATATAATTGAGATTATTAGTGTTATACACAAAACCATTGCCACCATTATGATTTATGAAATGTTATTATACTTTCATAATAAATACCTCGTACAAGGGAAATAAGCGTACAAATTATGATGAGCAACTATTAAAATGATTTGTCTACCTTCATTCTCATACTTACATGACATTCCCCATTTAATGTAATTTCAATTTTATTTTATTTAATTTCAATTTAAACCAAATATCGCTTTCTTGTAGTTATTTTTCAATCCCGGTTTAATCTTATCAACTGATTTTATGAAGATATTATATCTGAACACTTTTTTTGATATTTTTCTAAGGGCCCGTCTACACCTATCCAAGTCTTGAATGCAAGTATCATATTCTCTTGTATTGGATAGTGTAGACACCCTACTTGAATGAGTTTTAAAGAGAAATTATGTGACATCCAAGAAGATGATTCCTTGCAAGAAATTTAGAACACGTTCTATTTTTCTACAAGTTTTTGGCTGTCAAGACACTGATAACACCAGTTTGACACAAAACATGTGCCCGAAGGTTTGATAGTGCTGTTATTTTTTTATTATTTTCTGACTTTTTGTTGTTGATTCAGTGTACATGCCCTTTGAATTTCAGTAAATGATGACAATGTCTTGGTCAAAGGAACAAATCAATACGCTGATACACAGAAGAGCAAAAAAAATAAATAAATAAAAAAAAATTAAAAAATAAATACATTGTAAAAAATAAAAAAGAGCTCATTTTCAAGTAGAGTCAAAATGGATTTAAAATGATCTTGTTCATTTAGTGAATAATTTTCATCAAATAAAGAATTTGCATCAAAATAAATTTTTGTCACATTTTTTCAATTTTAAAAAAGAATGAACGCATTCTGTTTTAGCTAAATGCATCATTTTCCCGCTTTTTTCACATATTTTACAGAAACATGATAGTCTTGCAAAGACAAAGGTATAAATCCTGGGCTATCTTAATGAGACATTTCAGTAAAAATTGTGCCTGAAAAAATGTTGAAAGGGCCATTTATTTAGCTTATCTAAATGCGACATGTAAGAAACTTGAATAGGTGTAGACACGGCCTAAAACACGCCGCAATAACACAGTACAATAAATATTTTATCAGCGGAAAATATTTACACTTGAGTTTAACTGACATAAAGGTCAACAAAGTGAGGTAGTATATTCCTTCTTTATCACGGAAAAGAGTAGCGGAAATTATTGATCGCATTACGAAACAAAAAAAAACACTTTTAGTCACGCTTTTACATATATATCATTGAAAAACTTGTTTAAGCGTTTCGTTGTAATCTACGCATCAAATAAAATTGAAAAGAGAAAAAACAAAGATCACCTACCTTTAAAAAGTTTCTTTCGTAATCACTGCGGTAATTCCTTCATATATACATAGTTAAAGTAATTCACAACTGTACAATATATAGTTATGACAATACACAACAGTATGATAAATAGTTATGGTATCACACGGCAGTAGGATATATAGTTATGGTAATACATGGCAGTAGGATATATAGTTATGGTAATACATGGCAGTAGGATATATAGTTATGGTAATACATGGCAGTAGGATATATAGTTATGGTAATACATGGCAGTAGGATAATACACGGCAGTAGGATAATACACGGCAGTAGGATATATAGTTATGGTAATACATGGCAGTAGGATATATAGTTATGGTAATACATGGCAGTAGGATACATAGTTATGGTAAGACATGGCAGTAGGATATATAGTTATGGTAATACATGGCAGTAGGATAATACACGGCAGTAGGATATATAGTTATGGTAATACATGGCAGTAGGATATATAGTTATGGTAATACACGACAATAGGATATATAGTTATGGTTACACATGGCAGTAGGATATATAGTTATGGTAATACACGGTAGTACTATATATTGGTATGGCTATACTCAAAAATTCAATATATACTTATGGTTATACACGGCAGTACGTTATACAGTTTTGAAAATACACGGCAGTACGATATATAGTTATGCTAATACACGGCAGAACGATATATAGTTACGGCTATACACAACAGTACAATATAGAGTTATGGTAATAAATGGCAGTACGATATAAAGTAATGGTATTACACGGCAGTACGATATACAGTTATGGTAATACACGGCAGTACGATATATATTTATGGCTATACACAACAGTACAATATAGAGTTATGGTAATAAATGGCAGTACGATATACAGTTATGGTAATACACGGCAGTACGATATATATTTATGGCTATACACAACAGTACAATATAGAGTTATGGTAATAAATGGCAGTACGATATATAGTAATGGTATTACACCGCAGAACGATATACAGTTATGGTAATACACGGCAGTACGATATATATTTATGGCTATACACAACAGTACAATAATTATAGAGTTATGGTAATAAATGACAGTACGATATATAGTAATGGTATTACATGGCAGTACGATATACAGTTATGGTAATACACGGCAGTACGATATATATCTATGGCTATACACAACAGTACAATATATAGTTATGATAATATACGGCAGTACGATTAATAGTTATGGTTTTACACGGCGGTACGATATAAAGTTATGATAATACACGGTAGTACGATATATATTGTTATTGTAATACACGGGATCGCGATATAGAGTTATGGCAAAACACGACAGGACGATATATTGTTATGGTTATACACGACATTTCGATAAAA